AGAGAGAGGAGAGGAGGAGAGGAGAGGAGAGAGGAGAGAGGGAGAGGAGAGGAGAGAGGTGGATGAGAGAGTGAGTCCAAGTAGCTCCTTTAAGGGTATTCTAGAGGTGTACTGAGGTAGACTATTCTTTTAGATAAGAGATTTATTGAAAATGTTAGAGAAATAGCAGCATGGCAGGTCCGCTCATAGTTTCCCAAGGTCTTACATAGTGTTATTGATGAGTAGCCATGATACCTGCTTGCAGCCAGACTGACGGCCGAAGACACCACAGGAGACACAACTTTTCCCTCATCCCAGAGCCAAGAGAGCTCAAAATCTAGTCCGCACCTTTTCCTTCCTGTCTATTTTCTCTATCCAAATTGTTGTCTTCTTTATGGCCAGTTATAGTCAGCTAGTCACTGTCTCCACCCTCTGAATCAAGGTATAACTTTATTGCCAGTCTTGGGAGTGTCAGAGTGCAATCAAAATATCCCACAACAAATTTAAGCAAACTTGTTCTAATAGTTAATGTACATGAATTTAAGGCAGACTTACATAGAGTAAAAAAGAAAATGGTTTTGTTTCAAAGCAGAAATGGGTCCATGAGTATGTGAACAGCATATTTAGTACTAAACTCCCTGACAGTCAAGGTAGAGAGTGAATGAAACACAATTAGAAAAAAAGCAGAATGAAGTTGACTCAATTATTACAATGCTCAAACATTTAAGTATTTTAATATATTGAGATGTATATTTTCTATAGATATTTACATTTATGTTTCTATACTAGATGTGTGTAAAATGTAATGTCTCATTTCAGTTGAATATACATATGGAGTTTAGTTTATAGTACTTTATGACTCAAAGCTAAATAATTCAATAGAAAATGGTGCTATCTTATAGAAAAAAGTTTCATCTTAGTCAATATTTTAAAAGAAATTATCCAAGTGACTTGTCTGTAGATATATTTAAAATATGTGTAGATATATTTAAAATGTGATTGCATATATATATATATATATATATATATATATATATATATATATGCAATTCGGAACACAAACGGCTTAGGTTTTCATGTCTGTTGTAATAGTGTGAAATTATTAGGGTGCTGTTGTCACAAAGACCTGTCAACTCCTAAACTATCTATTTGTCTGAGCTTTGTATTTTCTGGAGGCCAAATAGATTTTCCTAATACAGTAAGTTTTTATGTTCACCTGGAGAAGGGTATAGGCAGGTCTTGTATCTTCTTTGCAGGGACAGCTTTGATTATTTGTGCCACAATTACTGCATAACTGATAGCAATGGAGAGTTTGGTGCTGGCTGGCTGCTGCTTGTGTGTCTCTGACTGGAAAGGCATCCAGTAACCTGTACTGCTGTGGCTCATATGATGATTCCTGTTTATGAAGACCCTACTACATGCTGAGTCCCACATGAACATGTGGGGTGAATGATCCCCATTTACCTTAAAAGCAATTATTTTCCACTTTGATCTACATTTTACAATTTGAAAACTTACAAATAGTGAAATTAAACAATTCCAAAGTCACATAGGCAGGAAGTTCTGCAATTCAGTTACAATTATTATAACCAAATTTCAAAACCTGTACTTTGGATACATTTTTTTGAAATCAGAGCATGTTCATCTACCTACAACTAAAAGAACTTTTTAACCCAGTGAAAAGAATTTGTTTCTTGGAGTCTCTATAGTTAAGGGGCTCTTTTGATTTCTTTTGCTAGCTCTGTTTTCTTGTTTAGTTTGCTTTGTTTTTATGAAGGGGAATTAAAAACAGAGTTTCTAACCTTCACTAGATTGTCTTTCCTCTCCATGAAGAAGTGTTACTCTCCATTTTTGGCCTTTGCCCCAGGGGAAGTTTGCACTAAGCCCTTAAGCCCTATCCAGTGGGAGGTCAGTCAGTTTTCAGACAATTCTCTGTGCATTAAATTTTGTCTCTCAAATTATGTAAACTAATAGCACACAAAACCACGCTTAGAAAGCCAGGTGGTGTGTTGTTTTGCTATTTCTGATAAAAACAACATCACAAGGGATTTTGTAACTATTTTTAAAGGGCTTACTGACATCATGCCTTCTAAAGTCTGGCTGCTCTTGTGCTCTCTGCCTAATGTTCATGTTACGTGGTTCTTAGAATATTTACTGGAAAAGTTTCATGGAATTGCATAGAAGCAGGATATGTAATGTTTTAAATAGTTGTAAGATGAGAGCTATCAGAACAGTCACTTCACAAATGCTGGAAAATTTTTGAGACAGAGCTGAACTGGCAAGCTATTTTCTCTTGTCATTTCAATAATGGAATTATCAAAGTGTCCTTTCAAAGGACCCCTTCAAATCCTGGGTGTGCGCAAACATCGCCACATCGCCAGTGCTCTGAGATACCATCATCTCACTGCTTGTCTGCCTGTCCTCCCAGGAGGCCTCCTGTCTTCTGACCCTTTATTTTGATCCAATTCCTTTGTGTTACTCAAAAGTATGTCTCTTAGTATGTGACGTGTGAGAGTTAGCAATTCCATCTGGCTAATACATAACATTTATTAAAAATGACAATATAATGCTGTGGATTTCATGGAAAATACAGCATTTCACCTACAAATGTGTGAGAGGCATAGCTTGGGCATGGAATCCCAGACACCTGTTCATCCCTTTTATTGACATGATTAAGAGTCTTGCTGTTAGTATTTGGATGTGTTTCATTTGAACCTGCCTGCACCTGTTCCCAGGGGCACACAATTGCCCAGGCTGTCACTCTCATGACAAGTCAGCCCTGTTTAAACTGCCAGCTAACAATTGCACTGCACACTTTGATGAATACACTGCCGAGTGGCCCATGAGTGATGGAGGAGAGCCGACTGAGAGAGGACCCTGCTCCAGGAATGATGTGCGCAGCTTCCTGCCATTTAAAAGGAATGGCAGCTTCTGATCTCTGCATTTGTGTTTGCAACCCCAAACACTAATTTACCAGCAGAAAATGCTTTGTCAAAGATGAATGCTCAAAGTCTGATGGGGAAAACACTGTGTGAGCAGAAATGCACCTTTCATGGGCAGTTTGGGTAATAATGCCTTGAGATGAAGGGAAAGGACAAGTAGTTCCTCATGAGAGAGAAGGGAGAGGCAGCAAACACAGACTAGAGATCAAGAGACAGATGGCATTGTTTCTCAGAGTACTCAAAGAGCCAGACTTGAAGCATTTATTTGTCTTATAATAGTTCATTTGTGTATTTTTCAGTCTGATAAAGTAGATGTCATAGACCTAAAATCTCAGAGTCACAAAACACTCAATTTACTTCACATTAAGAGTCTTACTATTTAGAGATATTATTTATTTAACTTAAATATATTTTTTGAGGATTTCATATATGTATACAGTGTATTTTGGTCACTTTGGCTTGACTATCTATGGACTTGAAGAGAAGCACATGACAAGGCCCCCTTCTGTGTTGACATTGTATTTGGCATGGCACCACGTTCTTGAGTTCTGCAGTGCCCACATCTTGGATAGGGGAGGGCTATGAGGAGATTATACACACCGTATAGACAGAATTTATGTTAGTTTTTGCATGACTAGTCATTATTTGTTTATTTTATTTTATATGTAAGAGTGTTTGCCTGAATGCATGTAAGTACATGATATACCTGCTTGGTACCCATGGAGGCTATAAAAAGGCTTTTTGTGCCTTGTAACTGGAGTTTTAGATAGGTGTAAACTGCTCTGTGTGTGCTGAGAACAAAACCCAAGCCTCTGCAAGCACAGGAAGCACTTTTAACTGCTGAGCCACCTCTCCAGCCCGTTAGTCAACTCTTGATAACATGGGTTCCTTAACCTGTTGTTGACTGCTCAGGCAGGAAGTCACAGATTCAAGAAAGATGGTTAAATCCACCAATGCTTAGTTTACATGAAATGTTTTCAAATGAGTTCTTTTGCTATGGTTTGGCCTTTTTGATGCATGATCTCACTATGTGGCTGAAGCTGGCCTTGAACTTGAGGTCCTTTTGTCTCAGCCTCCCACATGCTGGGAACAGAAACATGTGCCACCATATTAGGCTTCTCTATACTCCTGAACCCACATGATATGTGTAGTAATGATGTTACTCAGTAAACTTTTGAAGGAAGCTTGACTGACTAGATCATTATACAAACGCATAAAGATGTAGGCAGCACAGTGTGATATGATTTGTTCTGGTCTCAATACCAGATTCACTCGAGAGCTCAGCAAGCCAATCGGTGTAGAGTATAAAGGCGGCTGCGTTCTGGAGCTCTTTCTTTCTGCCATTGCTCTGTTGTCAGCAAAGATGTCCTTATAAGACAATGTACATATTTAACTCACTGGTGAACTGACATAGTTCAGTCAGTGATAATTACCTGTTGGAGGTCGTATGCCTGCTCTTACAACAAATGATGAGCTCATATGTCAGTTTAACTTATATTTCTACATTTTAAAACATCTATTCATTCTAGAATAGAGGTTCTCAACCTGTGGTTGTGAATCCCACAGGGGTAGACTATTGGATATCCTGCATATTGGATATTTACATTATGATTCACAACAGTGGCAAAGTTACAGTTACGAAGTAGGAAAAAGATAATTTTGTGGTTGGGGGTCACCACAACATGAGGAACTGTGTACTAAAGGGTAACAACATTAAGAAGGTTGAGTACTACTGCTTTAGAATGTTCACTGAGTATCAATTTCTTGTCATTAGATGTTGTATGTGAAGATTTTACCTGAACCCCAATACCTGGTATGAGATAGAAACAGTTCACAAACTCATGAATATAAACAGGAATCATTAGTGGTAGTATATAAGAACTCATGTGTCAGGCTAAATCTGAAGAAAGTAAGAGTGTCATTTGTGAAGTGAAGATTTTGTTTTGAATTCTTAAAACTTAGTTAAAAAAAAGATACTATTGGTGATACAGCGGGAAAGAGTCGTGGCTCCATGGGCTTGATATAAATCACTAACTAAAATTAACCACTTTAAGTTGTATAATTAAACCAGGGTATCTGAGATTCTAGCTTAACAACGACAGCAAAGAAACAGAACAAGGTAAAAACAAGGACTCCGAGGAACTAGCAAATGTTAAAGTATGCTACATGCTGAAGAGTGTGGGAATGATTAAAAAGGCAAGCTCACCCTTGTCACTGGCTTAAGACAGTGCAGGCGTTGATGGTGAGAAGAGTAGCCACACATGAAGAGAACTCTTCATGGTGATCGCTAGGAAAATGAACAAACACTTCAAATAAGCGGGAGAGTTATTATCTGTTCGGCAAAAGTGAGCAAATAATTAGTCATTGAAGAGCATGCCATCTGTGCAGAAGCAAAGGCCATGGCTTTCTTTTCGTTGTAGGCTATTTCCTGGCACATAGGAGCATCTCAGCATTAAGGGATGGGTTATTCCACGCAGGCAATCTATATTGTCAGTGGAAAGGAAAAAGGAGGAAGGGTGGGGATTGAATGACTATTAAGGGGAAGCAATCGTCCTGCTTGGGACAGGAAACAGTGGGGAACAGGCAGTTGGCTCTGGCAGAGCCACAGACACTAAGTACAGATTTTTTCCTGGACAAGGCGATCAGCAACAGGCTCTCTCAGCAACAGGCTCTCTCAGCAACAGGACCAGGACTTCATGGAACAAATGGAATCAGGCAAGAGGCTGTTGCTTTACTATGTGCCTGCAACAGTCTCTCCATTCTGATGACAAACAATTTCAAATATGTCCTCCAAGTTGCTTTATTTGGAAGCTTTTATATAAATATTGCCTTATTTCTAAGGGAAGAAATGTAATTCACTGTGGAAGTCCTAGTGCATGAACCTGGAGCATTTTCTCTAAGCCTTGTCTTATCCCAGGGTCTGTAGGGAAATAGAACAAGAAGGGAGAACGAGAGCAAACGACACCTGGAGATGAGGGAGGAATTTGAAAACGGAAATGTTTGTATTGGAGGTCAGATGCACTTGCTCCATGAGGCTGCTCATTTCCCCTTCTTTCCTGAACGTACTGAAAATTGAACCAGGATGAGCTGCCAGCCTTTTGAAATAAGATAATATACCTAACAGAAGCCACTACAAATGATGGAGGGGGTGGCCATTTATTATCCTGTAAACAATTTACAGAGCCCAAAGTGGGAATCATCCTGCTGATACCCAGACAGCCCGTGCAGTCCTGGGGTCTCTGAGCAAGCTGATGTCATGTCCCAGCTAATGGTGCATTGGGTAGGGACATCCATGGAACCACTAAGAAGAGTGAGCTGTTTCTCTTAAAATTTTTTGGGGAATAGAGAGTGAATGGCCCAAAAAAGGATTCTGTTGAAGCACAGGAGTCACCCGGCACTTGCCAAGGTGATGATGGGAACGGGTTCAGAGAGGCTACTGCTTAAAGAAACCTTTCCTCGCTGGTGCCTTGGTGCCCTAGGCTTCACTTGTGTCTTCTTGGAAGTGTTGGTATGTCTCTGTGGCTATACTTAGACAGAGAGGATGTGTCACAGAGAGCTGGCAGAGCCAGAGGGACAGGGGGAAGAGGAAGGAAAGGCTGGTATTTTTATTTATTTAGTTTTCATCTTTAGCTCCACATTAGCTGGCACAGTGACAAAGTCAGCTAAGTGAATGTGGAACACAGAGGAAATAAATCCGGAAAACTAGGGGGCACCGAGAGTCTCATCTGCTAGCGTATTCTGTACTAATGCTTGGTCCCTGATACCCCCAAAAGATAAAGTATTTTCTATAAAAATAATTTTAAGTTCAGAGCAATTGTTTTATGAAGCAAACACAAACTTATGTTTCTCTTGTTGGAAGCAATATAATAAGGGACTTTGACGTTGTGCCTCCTCCTTACATAGAGTCGGCATGGAGGTTTGTTCTTGGATGCTTTCACAGCCTTGGGGGCTCACGTGCAAGCCATCTGGGACTACTGCATGTTTCTAGTATATATCTGTGGCTCCAGCTGGGGGTGCGTCTGAGGCCTCTGTTTTTGCTCTGCGGTCTGCCTCGTGGTTTCTCAACCCTGTCTTCTTCTAGGGATTGCCTTAGGTTATTGGAATTTCTTCACCCTTGGGCATAAAATGCCTGGAGAAACCATGGAATTTATATCCCCCGAGGGTGGCCCATAGCCAATATCTGATTCAAAGTGAGAAAACGCAGCCCCCTCTTCATTTCATTATATCTTTCTAGGACAACTCCCAACTGAGTTGAGCTGATCCCGGAAGCAGCCCATTGACTGGCTGTCTCCCGTCCTTGCTTGGCTTCCTAACTCCCCTAAGACTTTCTCTTGGAGCTTGTTCAATGTGTCTTCTTCTCAGGCAGCTTCCTTTTGATATCTTGCTTTTAGGGACTCCAAAAAAGGTATTATCTACATACACATATATCCTAAGAGCATTTACTAATGTTCACCTAATTTGTAAGTACAAAGATGGTACCCAGTTGCCAGAGTGTTCTAGGGTGGTACACTTTACAGCAGATAAAAATAATTGACATTACTGCTGTGGCTAAACAGTAGAAATAAATATGTGCTTTCATAAAAGCAAAGTAGTATTCAAAATTTCTACTAACAAGATATTTATAGTCTTTCTAAAGGTTCTCCAAGAAAATCCAAACCTAGACTTGGTTTTTTGTTAAATGTGATCTATTAAAAACTTTCATCGTTCCTAAGCTGGGTTAGGGACACACACCTGCAATACCAGCAGTTGGGAGGTAGGGTCTGGAACACCTGGAATGTGAAGGCTGTGTGAGCTGCATAGTGAAACTCTGTCTCAAAATAACAAGACAAATAAAACAACAACAACAACAACAAAAGTAAAAGTAAAACCAAGCCAAACCAAAAAATCTTGGTAGTTTTTAGATCAGTTTTTCTTTATCATGACAATAATATAGAATGTACTGAGGGAACAATTTTCCCTAAGGTATATTTGTTAAAGATTTAATATTATTTTTTCCCAATATAGTTCCATATCAACTCATAAATTTAGGACATAACAAAGATGTTATCATTTTACTTTTGCAGATACTAAGACCCTTTCATCGATCTCATCCAGAAGTCACCCTTACTCCAGTGACAGTGAAGACGATTCTACGGAGCTGTGTGCAGATGCCCACTCTGGAAACAGTGCGGGGGGAAGTTCCACAAGTTCCTCTTCTCACGACCTACAGGAAAACGATGACCAAGGAAAATTCCACTTTCCAGCCGAGGAGTCCTTGGAAACTGAGATCGAAGAGCAAGAAATCACAAAAGTAGATGTGGATAACGGCCCTCCATCGACAGAGGTTAGATATATACATGTTACTGAGGAAGAACCAACAGAGGGAACCCAAGAGATTACAGAAGCCAAGATGTCTAGGCAGTCTGCTTCTCCAGAGGCAAAGGCTAAAAGTCAGCTCCAGGTAGGAGGCACAACTGTGGTAGAGGACAGAAAAGCAGGCCTCCCTGGGCTGGAAGAAGAGGGTAAGTACAGCCAATGAGATGACACTCTCACGTACCTGTGCATGGAAGCTGATCTGGTCATTGCGACTGACAGAGCTGGGCAATCAGTCTGGATGATTCTGGAAGGATTCTATATTTCCCTTTCTTCTTGTCACAGAATTTCACGTGTATTTTCAGCTTGCTGTTTTCCTTCTATTGCATTTAAAAAATGACTTGATCATTCTTACATAGCCTGTTTCCTATTTTCTGTAAATTCCTTCCTATGGTAATTCTATCTCAAAAATCAAATAAAACACCATACATGTGTGAAGTCAAAGATATGTCTGGCTTTTTAGAGGTCTGTGCTAACATTGCTGTTAATTCTGAGTCACGGCTACATTTGTATATGCACAGCTCATGTGGATGGTGCTTTGCATGTCTTATGCATGGTTGTATGTTGAATGTGAACTCACTGCATCATACCACTGCCATCTCATCTCTCCAGGGGAAGCAGCTATTTCTTAAGAAGATTGTGTTGCCAAGAACTGTACATCCAAGGGGCTGTCCCAGAATCGGGTCAGGTGGAGTGGCCCCAGAGTTTCTAGAGACTTCCATTGTCTTCCTGTCACTAAACAGATTTAGATGAAAATATTAAAATTCCCTAAGATGTTCCAGTCTTCACTCTGAACTATGCTCTGACACCAAGCTCTTTCATGATCACTGGGTTTCCAGGGTGTGTCCTGTTTGCTGAGAGAAGTTTAGGGTGTAGGACAATGTGTCCCCAGGACCACAGACACATGAAAGGTCTGAGGCTCCTGTCACCTTGGAGAAACAAGCAATGGACAGAGCTCAGTCTGTGGCTAGTGGACTGATTGTGCTTCGCTGACGGCTGCTTCTCACAGAGCACCCTGCACTCTGCCAGGCCTCCAGGCCCCACCACGCTCTCATCGGCCTCCCCGACAGTGCAGCAGGCATTCTGCTGGCCTCCAACTTAAATCTGTTTCACATTTTAATATCATGAAGTCCAACTATGTTTAAAAAACTTGGAGTGCTTTTAATCGCTATACATGTTAGATCTCTAAAAGCTATTTTTATACTAGTCAGGCCTATATCTAGGAATACAGGATATTGAACAAATGCCTATCTGTTGAACTGTTTATGTAACTTTGTAGTATGTCATGGTAGTATCGTCAAGACAAATGTAATGGAGCTCCTCCCAGAAAGTGTTAGACAGCTTGACAACTGGACTGATGTCACTAATTATGTTCAAAATTACAGAAGGGATGTGATGAGATGGAATTTCAAAATAAGACAAGTCCCATGTGGCTATGATCACTTTGATATGACTGCTAAATGTGACCTGAACTAGGATACTAACAGTAGACAAGCTAATGTGGAGGGAGAAAGCTCTCTAGGCCTCAACCCCAAAGAACTACAGAGAACTAAGGAATGCTGGGAGTTGGGGAAATAGTTTACCTCAGGGAGGAGCATACCAATTAACTGTCCAACACCAAATGGTCAGCCCTAAAGACATATACTAGTAACATTGTATGCACTGAGCACTGAGCAGGCTGTATTTATATATTTAGTTATATATATATATATATTATATATATAAAGTAGTATACATACACACCCTAATTAAAGAAAAAGAGGCCATAACTTTGAAGGAAAAGAAGGGAAATACAAGGGAGGTGCTTAGAGAGAGGAAAGGGAAGGAGGGAATGATGTAATTATATTATATTCTCAAAATTTATTTAAAAAAGAAAGCAAGCTTTCTTGAAGAATGTGCTTGATAAGGATTTTAAGGCTGGACACAAATTTGAAGGTAGGGACCCAAGACAAAGTGCTCCAGACAGTGGATCTAGTCCTCATATTCTGGGGGAGTAAAACAGATCAAGGGGATTTACATAACTTAGCAGTTACTAATGAAGGAGACTGACCTGGGCTGGCAACACAGCTGAGCAGGACAGTGCTTGCCTAGCACATGTGGAATCTGTATTTGAGCTCCGAAGAGGAGAAACAAACAGATGTAACACCGATTTTGTCATTATTTTAATTTCAGAAAACTAGGTACTTCTCTTCATTTTTAAAAATAGCATACAAAGTATTAGAATTCATGATGATATTTGCATATGCAATTTGTGTTTGTTGATGTTTTTTCTCCCCATCCTGGATCCTTTTCCCCTTTCTCCTTCCAAGCCCAGTAATGCCCATCCTGCCTGGGTGTCACGCGTCCTGTGACCGGCATCCTCACGCCTCCCTTTTCCCTTATATGTCCCCTCTGGGGTTTATGAACTATGTCCTCACCATACCTGTGTAATCTCGTAAGTTTATTAGTTTGCTCTACTACAATTCAAAACAAAGTATCACTAGACAGTTTTTAGGATAAAATTTGTTTTGCAAGTTCTTCCAGGGATAAATAATTCACACACATTTAGGAAAAACAAATGTCTGGGACTACAGGTAAGAGTTTGAGGCCAGCAGTCCTGAGCTGCCTCAGTGAATACGGCACAAGAGGTAACAGGACAGTCTCCTGTAAACAAGGCTCTCCAATCCTAGTGTGGCTCTCCTGCCTTGCTGGAGAAAGCCCAGGGCAGCTGCATTGGAGATGGAGTGTCTTGCCAGGTAGCAGGATCTGTATCCTCATGAAATCCAGAACCCCCTATAGCTAGAGTTTTCCTGCCTGGCCCACAGTCAGGACAAATCTCTGTCACCCGCCAGTCCCACAGCCGCTCAGACCCAACCAAGTAAACACAGAGACTTATATTACTTACAAACTGTATGGCCGTGGCAGGCTTCTTGCTAACTGTTCTTATATCTTAAATTAACCCATTTTTATAAATCTATACCTTGCCACGTGGCTCGTGGCTTACCGGCATCTTATATGCGGCTTGTCATGGTGGCAGCTGGCAGTGTCTCTGACTCAGCCTTCCACTTCCCAGAATTCTTCTCCTCCTTGTCCTGCCTATACTTCCTTCTGCCTGACTACTGTCCAATCAGTATTTTATTTATTGACCAATCAGAGCAACACATTTGCCATACAGAACATCCCACAGTAACCACCCTGGAAACTGTTCCCATTCTTTGACCCATAATACAGTCATATATTGTAAATATCAGGAAGTTCATAGAGACACTGTATTTCTTAAGATGAGCAGTAGGCCATCTTATACTTAGAGATTGGTAGCATATCAATAAAATGTATACTTTTACCAATTCATTGTGTATATAAACAACACATGTATAAATCTTTTAAGCTGCTGCTGTGTGTAGTTACACAATACACTTCTGTATAAGTAATACATCTTCCTTTCAAGGACAGTATACATATTATATATATTACTACAACATAAGGAACATACTATATTTAATAAGTATTCTGTCTAACTTTAATGTTACTGCTATAATAAAGTATAACAGACTTAACACCTGAGACAATACACTTATTATCATTTCTTAAGACAAATCAGAAGCCTCATAGAGATAAGAATCAAGGTGTCTGGAGGCTGTCCCTGCTTCTGGAAGCATTGAGGAGAGTCAACCCTGCTCTTCTCCAGTTTGCCTTGCATTCACCTGCATCACTTTCTCACTGGTTTCATTTACAATCCTGATGCACCATCTCTAATCTGTCTTCCCTCAGACTTCTGCTCCCCCAGTCTCTTCAAACTCTTGCCTCCCTGCTCCTGTCTAACAAATGCACACGGGTGCACACACAGATGCCTCACGCCAAGGCTCCTTATCACGTGTGCAATGGTGTGTTTGCAATACAAGGTGGTACTCGTAGGAGATTTGAAGCATCAGGATATGGCATTTTAAGCAGGGGATACTATTCAGTGTCTAAACATTTCAAACAAATTAAGAAGTCATGAATCACTTGACAATGGGCAATGCAATAGGAAGCAACCAAAGTAGAGCTTACAGAAAATAAATTATCATCCTGTAATAATATGTATCAAAATCAATGAAAAAAAGGGAAAGTGATTTGAAATATTTGAAGCATAGATGTTTTTAGCTATATATATATATATATATATATAATTTTTTGGAAAGTAGGATTTCAATAAAATGGACTGTAATATGCTGATGAATAAAATAACAGAGATTGTGAACACATCAGTAGATTTCATCCCTCATATTTTAGAAATGATAAGTATATTTGTTTATTTTGTCAAATACATTGGGAAACATATTGTACTTGATACCTCTAATTTCACAGACACCTAAATAGTATTTTTATTAATATAGGTTTGATGCTAGAAGGCAAGGGATGAGACTTTTATCTTTCTTAAGCTTTAATACATAACTTTAATTGCTAATGTTTATGTTTTCATTAATATCTACATAAATACACATGGGACAACATCTATAAACTAGAGAAAAGTAGTGTAAAATTACTCATGCATTTATTACATGAAAAATCACTTTTACTGTTTGGTTAGTCTTTCAATTTTTAAACTGACATTTTACAGTTAATTGTAAATTTATAAAGCTTTTGTAAAGCATGATCTGCCTCATGCTTTAATATGACCCTACAAACACTCCTGTGTGGCCTTAAAGAGCATCCTTAATGTCCATGTATTCCATCCTGGGGTTTCCTCAGAAGCTAACCACTTCCCTACTGCTGGATGTTTATATTTTTCCATTTTTATCATGATACATTTTTTATTCTAATTATGATTAGCAGTACTTTAGTGTTTGATTACCTAACTTATTTCAAATTCAAAAATATTTCCTCAGGATATGTTATAAAAAATATAATTACTGTGTCAAAATTTACATATTTTGTGGGTGTTGATAGTCTTTTTTCTCACAAACAATTGGCTCAAAAGTTTAATATTACAGGGAAAAGGACAGGGTGCCAGTAAAAGCTTACACTGTCCAGCTTCCTATCTTCCTCATATATGTAGCCATGGCTAAACAATCATGATTCTAGACATTTTATGGAGATATATTTACAGATTCTGAACATAAAATAATGGAAGAGTAGTGTTTTCTGTTTGTTACAATTTAAAAGACATATAGAAGTAATTTCTGGTGTG